TGAGTGCCGAGACCCGTTTGCTGGGGCCGGGAGCTGGGGGAGGAGGTGGGCGCTGGTCAACCTGTCCCGGGCGCCGTCTCGCCCTCCGTGGAGCCCCGGGCGTGGGAAGGTCGCGCCCCGCTTTCCAGCCTCAGCGCCAGAGTCTGCCACACCACGGACTCTGCCACCCACTCCCCGACGCGCATCGCATCCCCTCTTGGCGGCCAGTTTCTACTTGCCCCTCTGGTCCCCTCTGATTGTCCTTCCCTTCTCTTGGGTTTCGAGTGTGGCCGGTCCCTCCGGGTTATCTTTTGGCGGACCTGGGCAGAGAACACCAACCCCTATCCCAGGGCAGCTGGCGGTTTCCCCGGGGGTCGCGGTCAGGAGGCCCAAAGACCGTTGCGCGGGAGGGAGGGTCTCTCTGCAGCGCCTCCGCCTCCGAGGGAGAAATCCGTGGAGCACCGGAGCCTCGCCACTTCCCGGGCTCCCTGTGATCCGAACTGAGACTGACTGGCCTGGGGAGAAATCTGGTCCCCGCCCCCCCGTAGTTGTCACCTCGAGGTCATCTCGGCCATCTCTGTCAAGCCCCTGCAAGCAGGCGACACAAAGTAACAGAGAAGAAAGTTTTCTCCGTTGGCCAGGGTTTGGGAAGAGTGTGGTGGCAATTCTTCAACTCAGCGGGAGGAACTTCCAATTCTGTTTTAAACGTGCCCGGGCTGAAGGAACCTCAGCTGCGTGACTCTTCGTCTCAGAGACTTGGAAAGAAGTTGTGCGGAGTTATTGGGTGGAGCAGAGGGTCCGGGCCAGGGTAGATGACGCTCCCAGCCTGCCGGGTGGTGCTCGCCCAGCTCGGGTCGCCCTGCCCGACTGGGACAAAGGCAGACTGGGGTCATGGGTGGTAACAGGGGAAGGTGGGCAGGAGGCAGAGGAGGGAAGTGCGGGGCGCGTGTCCACTAAATTCCCAATGCCCCATCCACTGCACCTTCTGTGTCCACAGATGCTAAGTAGCAAGTGTCTGGGACTATCCGGACTGACCCTCGCCCTGTCCCTGCTCGTGTGCTTGGGTGCTCTGGGCGAGGCATACCCCTCCAAGCCCGACAACCCGGGCGAGGACGCGCCGGCGGAGGACATGGCCAGATACTACTCGGCGCTGCGACATTACATCAACCTCATCACCAGGCAGAGGTGGGTGGGCTCTGCAGGACCTTCTTGGGGGAACGCCATGTCTGCACACCCCAAAATCCTGGGGATCCTAGGGTACAGGGACCATTTCTTTTTCTTGTCTGTGTCACAGAGCAGGCCAGCATTGGGCACATATTCAGATCTAGGGGTATTTTCCTGCTGCAACTACAAAGTCGTAATCCCCAGATCCAGATTTCCCGGGCTGTGCGGCAGGTCTTCTCCTTTCACTCACTCTCTTGTCTTTGTTCTCAGAGTAGCTGGGGGTCTGTCCAGAAACCTTGCAGGCAGGGGTGGTGGTGGAAATGACAGTGAAAGGTAAGAACGCCAGGGAAAAGCTACAGGGAGAAGGGTGAGCAGGCCTGGCGGTGTAGAAAAAAACAAGCACCGCCAAAGACCTCCAAGGAGGGAACAGCTGAGCTGCCAAAGACATTCCTTGTTGGATTTGCCAAGCTGTCCTAGGAAATGGAATGAGAATAGACAAATAGAAATTTCTTTTCTTCTGTAGCGTGTTTTTACAGTCTCAGCCCCATACTCAAAAATCCCAGTCTCAATAATGAGAGACTTTGCATAAAAACAGTTATACCAGGTGAGTTCTGAAAAGGGCCCACTTAGAGCTCTGAGAAGAAACTTACACTGATCTTGTAACTCTAGGGTGACTCCAGGGATTACATGGAATCTAAGAAATTGTAAACTTTATTCCAGACTCCCAGAAAATCAAAACGACATGCCATGTTTTCACTCTCAATATCTAGTATTAAGCCAAAAAAAGGGGAAGAGGAGTGAGGGGAGGTTTAAATTTTGACTGGAAGACCAGGGAAGGAGGATGATGACAGGTAATATCTGTCAAAACCTTTTTCTCTCTTCCTTGCCTGCCTCCCAGTTCTCTATTAAGAAAAGATATGAGCCCTCTCAAAAAAGAAAAAATATGAACCCTTCAGAAGCATTGTTATTTAACATATTTAAAATTGTGTTGTACAATATTTTTGTAAGAAAAATTTCATATTTTTACTGTTTACAAGTCAGGGAATAGTTGGGAGGGACCCAAAAGGAAAGAATTTATACTTCTGGAGTAAATTTTCCTTTTTTCTGTTTTATCAAAAAGTTTTTTTTTCAAAGTTCCAATTTATATAGAATCTGAAGAACACGAAAATGCCAGAATAAATAGCATTGATTTGCAATCTGTCCAAATTTGATCATTTTAACAATCAAAAAGCAAGTCTACTTTATATCCTACTAGACTTCTCAGAGTTAGTAGCTTCCAATTCTTGGTTACGCTTTCAGACAGATCAGAGAAAAGAACTTGTACGAATAACATATTATTTCTTTTTCTCTAGGAAAACTTTCGTTAGTTTTTTAATTAGCTATAGAATAATGTATAGTAGAATTCATTTTTGCAAAGATGATTGTTACAAAGTTTTACCACTATTAAAAAAAAAAAAAAAAGAAAAGCTTTAGCATTTCGAAATATTTTCCTGGCCATTATCTTATTCGGTCTTTATTTCAAAGCTTTGACACGAGTGCAATTATTTTCGTTTTACACATCATGAAATTAAGGGCATTTCTAGTATATTGTTATTAGGGCTATGGAATTGAAGCCCTCCTATTGATTTTCCAGGCCCGTTGCCACCACCATCCACATTCAGCTTGATCACCATCTTTGATGAGGGGGGGAAAAAAGAAAAAGGACTGAGTTTCTTGGGAAGATACTCAGGTTAGATGGGAATGAGCTGGTCCTTGAGGAAGTTTCCTGTCCCATCTTCTCATAAATTCCTTCTTAGAAACCCGCAGAGCCTCATAATCCACTCCCATCTTCTCCTTTCTTCACTCATTGCCTTTCCACCATCAACACCCACTCATATGTGCATGTATACGTTTTTGAAAATTACAGTTCCATTTTTGAATGTATCTCAGTTTGGCATAGATGGTCATCTGAAATCTTTCTCCTTCTCTTTCATTTTCCACTCTACATATTTTTCAGCCATATTCCTTTGCCGTATATACCCTGGTTTCTTCTGAAAGCGGCATCATTTATTCCAGAGTCTAATGCATTTTGCTCATTTAGTCCTCTGAATAAATGGTTCTCAGCTGGTGTTGATGTACTCCCCAGGACATTCGGCAATGTCTGGAGACATTTTCAGTTGTTACCACTAGAGGTGGGTCTATTAGCACTAGTGTGTGGAGGCCAGAGAAGCTGCTAAACATCACACAACAAGCGGGACAAACTCTGTACCAAAGTGATCCAGCCCAGATGTAGTAGTGCCCATGTTGAGAAACTCAGCCCTAGATTAATGTTTCTCCATCCTGGCTGCACATTAGAATCACCTGGGGAACTTTAATATTTTAAGTGGTGCTGGGCTATAACCCTGACCAATTAAATCAGACTCTCTGGGTGGGGCCTGGGTTTACTCTGTGCTTTTGAAAGCTCCCAGGTGGTTCTAATGTGCAGCCAGGTTTGAGACTCTTTACCCTAGAGACTCAATCTTTGAACGTTAAAGCACTGAAGAGAAGAAGGGTAATCCAGAATTAATTAGAGACTGAAAAAGAGTGTCCTGGATGCTAGTACATGACTGTGCAAACCCTGCTGTTACAGACTTAGATTCTTTACTGGTAAATTCAAGGAAATGATTGCAAGTTCTTTCATTGACTGGAACATGATGAAGATAAGTGAATTAAAGTCACCCAAGAGTTTTAAGATTAGTAAAATCAAGTGATGCACAGAATAGCTAAGTATAACCCATCACAATTCCAGAAAATTATTGAGGGACTCTTACAAACTATGGGAGAAGGGAGTTGGGAGTGTGAAGGGAAGGTGGGGAGTGTTCTGTTTTTGTTTCCGTGAGGCTCACCAAAGGAGCAATCATGGGAAATATTTCCGAAGACTTTAGATTTAACTGTGCTTGATAGGCAATTAGAATATACTGTCTGCGGGACCAGCAGATGGTGCAATGGTTATGTCGCTGGACTCTTGCATAGTTGACCACAGTTCAAGTCCCAGACTCAGCGGTTGAAAACTCATGCCGGGTGCATGTGCATGTGTGCCCACGCAAAATCGAAAGAGAAGAAGGGAAGAGAAGGAATTGTGGCATGGCCATTCCCCCCTGGGGGTTAATTTCTCACTTTCTGTTTCTATTTCTCTGTGTCTCCAGTGAGTGCATGCATGTGCCCTATAGCAAAACTCTTAAAAAAAAAAAAAAAAGAAACTATAGCCAATTAATTATAAAAATATTGTTGATTAAACATAAATGTTTTATTATTTCAAATTGCCTTTCATAAAAGTATATCTATATACACATTATTTTTATTGTTAGTTTAAAAAGCAAGAATTTGGCTTGGAATTTTATCTAAGCTTAAATAATATGATAGACATTTATTTAAGTTTGCAAACAGTGAAAAATATGCAGTAAATATATAATTTGAAATAATATTTGTGTAATATTTCTTATACATTGAGATTATTTGCTGGCAGATAAACAACTGAAAATCATTTTTAGATTTAATGTCTTAAATGGGAGAACAACTTTTTTTTCCCTAAAGGTTTTTATGACCATTCCAAACTTGCTTTGAAAGATTTCCATTTTGCTTTGTTTTCAGATATGGAAAACGATCTAGTCCCGAGACCTTGATTTCAGATCTCTTGATGAGAGAAAGCACAGAAAATGTTCCCAGAACAAGGTATGAAAAGGCAGGTGATGGGGCCATTGTTGCAGAGCTCAAGGTTCACAGGGGAGGGAAATAAGAGGAAGCTGCCTGGTGGAAGGTTTTTGCAACAGGGACCAACTAGGATGATCCAGACAGAAATGGGGATGGAGAAACAGGGAAAGGACCTTTCTTTTCATGAACTCATTTGGAAACCTTTTGAATTATGTGGTGTAACATATTTCTAGCCCAAATTATTTGGCACTCCTTTGAAAATGTTGAATACAAACGAGTTTTAGCTCACAAATTACCCTATTTAGAATTTGTAACATTGTTAGAATTGGAGGAACATAGCCCCCAATTCTAAATTGAGATGACCTACATGCATATTTGGCTGGGATAATCTTCAGTTTTCATATACTATGTGGAGTATCTAGATGTCTAAGAAATGTCCCTCACAGATTTTACTCCAGCCTTCCTGGTTTTACTTGAAGCTATAGATAAACTGGGTGTCCCTGATTACTTTTTCACATATTCAACTTATAAATAGTAATTTATTACATTCAATGACATGTGGAAAGATGTATTATTCTTTGTAACTTACCTGTAGCCTCAGAAATATCCTGGGGCATAGATAATTTGATACCTACTAATACCTCCATATAAAACATTAGGGAGAGCTCTCTAGCACCTCCTGGAAGAGGAGCAGGGATGACAAGAAGCTTGATCCTCCCCCATTTTCATAACCCCCTGACTCTTCTGTCCTTGCTTCCGCTTCTACCCATAAGGTCACAATGCATGTGGTCCACCTGTATCTGTGGCTTCTTGACTGTCTTAAACCCTGGGACCAACAACGTCAAGAACCAAGTTCCCCAGAAGAGGTCACTAGAACACTAGCTCAATAAATGTGAATGGTGTTGCTCTTCATGGAGGTTCTCCCTAGGAAATTTTTGCCACTACCTTCTCTTCTTCCCTCCCTCTGTTCTTCTATGAAATGTCCAAGCTGAGGGAAGGTTCAAGGATACCGTGGTCAGATTCATTTTCTTTGAGGGAAACAATGTTTGAACTGGAATAAAATTCCAGTGTTCTTGGCCCTGGAGGTACCAGCTCAGACTTAAACAGCAAATGCAAGGGAAGCAGGTAGGAAATTGATCAGGGTTGTTTTCAGTACTAAGCAGTAAATACCTTTTTGTGTTTCATTGGCATGTATATGATTGTCACTGTCAAAAGTTCAGGGTACACTGTATCTACCTAAGGTTTGATAGATCACAATCCGGACCTGCTTAGACCTTTGCTGCCAGCTTTTGTTTTGAGGCCCGAAGTCACACAGTACACAAAATAAAAGTTAACTGAACCTTGATTGACAGACTCAATCAGGTTCAGTTAGGAAAAAAAAAAAAAACAAAACTTCACAGCTTTAAAGTTGCCTGTGAGCGCTATTTTATTAAAAAGAATTCTTTATATTCTAATAGATAGCATCTTACTACATAAAAAGACTTGCAGAAAAACAAGGAGGTGTATTCAGAGTTGAGTAACAATAACTTTCTTATTATAGTTTTGTGTGATTCCTGTAGTTTTGATCTTCAGAATGATTGCAGAGTTCTTCAGCTCCTTTGATACATACAGAGTCTTTCAAATCCCCCTTTTGAAGCTTGGCTGAGACTCTTGTTAACATGAGTGAAAGTTCCTTAGCTAGGTCCTTGCACATTGTGCCTCTGTCGCACGTTCTACTATTCCACAAGGCCTCCTGTTTAGAATGCTAACAGGAGGCTTTTCAACATCTTTCAGTTCAGATCTGAATATTTTACACTCGCAAGTCTCCCCAGAAGCAGGGAGCTTCTCTCACATGCATTGCTTCTTCTGTCTTTCAGGCTTGAAGACCCTTCTATGTGGTGATTGGAAGTGAAACTTACTCTCTGGTCTTCTCCCATTTTCCACTCTCATTTCATCCTATAAAACTAGAGTCTGCCCATCCTACAGATGCATGCAGCCACTCTGCTGAATCCTGCAGTGTTTTCCTTTGTCATCGTATATATGTGTGTTTAATAAAGTTCCATGCATTCAAAAGTATCCTCTTCAATGAAAAATCTATTCTCACAGTATGGTGACTTACTTTAAATTATTTTCTAAAGTATACTCTCCCTCAAGTAGTATGGGTTTGCTTCACTAATATTAAAGCAATGGCTATAAAAGATAGAGCTATATGATTGCTTATACGGTCAAGACTGTATGGGTTTGCTTCACTAATATTAAAGCAATAGCTATAAAAGATAGAGGTATATGATTGCTTATACGGTCAAGACTTAGCTTTCTGTGTGTGTGTGTGTGTGTGTGTGTGTGTAAAACATATAGAAATTTTTGGAGACACTGATCAAGGAAATGCTATTTGAGAAAAGTTTTCTGAACTCTTCCCACATTTACATGAAATTCTTGTCAACCTTGTTAACTTATGCCGTCAATAGAGGGGATCACTGTTTAATAGAACTTTCTGTGAAATGTCCTCTATCTCCTCTGTCTGATACAGCAGCCACTAGCCATATGTGGCTAGTGCAAATACAGAGCTGAGTTTTATATTTTATTTAATGTTCATACATTTTTATTTAAATAGCCACATGTCTCTAGTGGCTACCGTATTAAACAGCTGAGGTCTCTATATCTATTTAGGCCACTACTCTTAGAATTTGAGACAGAAATACACTAGGATAATTACCTTTTCACACAACATGGGCATGTTAATTAACTTAGCTAAAGGTTATTAAACTTACCTCTTCTTCTTCAAGTACCTATGTGAATGAGCTTAGTTTAAAACGAATACTATTAGATTCTTACGTGTAACTTCTAAATTAAAAAAAAGTATGTCATCACATACTTTAAACCACACTGTAAAAATCTACGCAAATATTTTTATGTGACATCTTAAAACTTCTTACAAAAAGCCGTGAATAACAATACATATTATGACTCAGGGGATCTTGTAGTACATACAATATACTCTGCATTTAAAGAATTGTATCATTTCTTTATCCAGTAAAGTCAGTGATGCAACAAAATATAATTACCTCTAGTGAAACTAAGATAAAGTTGTTCTGAAATTTTCCTTTATTTACTTATTTATTATTATTTTTTTGTCAGAGGGTTCATGAGAAAGAGAAAGCAAGTACCCTCCAGCAGGACCTGGTCATGACACAATCCACTTTACCTCCATTTCTCTATTCTGTCAGGATCCTGGGCACCCATGCATGCATGCATCCATACACATGGTGTTGTTTTCAATCTCCCTGGCCTGGGATTTGAGCTGTAGTTGGTCATATGGGATCTGGCTCCCTCTACACAGCACTTAACTGCTGCACTATGGGGTCAGCCTCTTTGTTCTTGAGCAAAATACTAATCAATAAGGTGTTTTTAAAAATCTTAAAAGTTTGAACAAGCCACACAATATCAGAGTTCTTCATTAACCTAATATATTTGGAGATTTTTTCTTTTTCTTTTTAAAGGTATTATTTTATTATTATTATTATAATAGAAAGAAAGAGAGAGAGGAGCACCCCAGCGTGGTTTCAGTACACCTGCCATCCTCCCTCCTACTTCCCAGACAGCTAGGCTCACAGGCACCACTGAACCTGTTGTGTCTAGGTTGGTCCTGGTACTAAACCTAGGCCTACCATGTGACTCCAGCAGCAGCATGCAGCGGTGCCACTTGTGACACTGTGGCTGAGTCTAGAGACTTTATTAAAGTTAGTATTGAGCAGAGAAAGTTGGCTCAAAAATCTATCCAGCAGCACAGATATGCTGCATATTCATCACCGTAAATAAAACTCCTGGTTATATGGAGTGGAACAAACAGAAAGAATATATACAACCATTGAAATATAACCCAGGAATAATCCCTTCTCCTCCATTCTCCTCTCGGGATCTTGGGCACGCACGCACATGCGCCCGGCGTGAGTTTTAAGCCACTGGGTCCGGGACGTGAACCGCGGTCGACTACGTGGGAGTCCAGCGACATAGCCATTATGCTAACTGCTGGTTCCCCCCAGGAATTTCATTTTAAGCAAAAGTTTTAACCTCATATCCTACAAACCTAAATGTCTGGAAGGCTTAATGTTAGACGGGCCATATTTTACATATCCCTGGGCCTTGGTCTCTTTGCCTTATTAGAAAGAGGACTTGAACCTTACCTAGTGTGTCCTAAGCTTCTGATTCAGTGGTTTTCAAGCTCTTTGACTTTCACATTAGAAAATTTCTAAGTACTCACTCATGAAATGGGAAATAATGATCGTCACCTAACTTTCCACATACCTCTACACTGGGATCAAAATTTAAGTTAAGGGAGGTGGAGAAGATGACTTTTTGATGATTCGTGTGTTGAATTGTAAGTTTTTATTAACTAAGAAGACATACAATGATGGTAAACTTTTTAAAAATCATAAAACTGCATACCAAGAGATTCTTGTACTCTATTTCTTAAACATTTTCAGGCAGCCGACCACACTTGGAATAAGTTTAAAGGTGTTGAATCACTCATCTGTCATTGCAAGAGTAATAATCATACTAATGACAACAGCAGTCACAACCCAGACAGGGCCACAGTAGGAACAGTTCAACCTTTATTAATGAAATGTCTGTGAGCAACATGATCATTATCAAGTTAAGTCCACAATTATTTATTGAGTCCTCTGATCTGTACTGTATTCTATGTTCTATAATGAAATGTCTGTGAGCAACATGATCATTAGCAAGTTAAGTCCACAGGTATTTATTGAGTCCTCTGATCTGTACTCTATTCTATGTTCTGTAAGTTGCAAATAGTATGTAAGATTTTTTAGCAAATGTCAATTTTTTTTAGA